TCAATAAATCTAGGTCTATGTGGTCTAAAATTTGAACGTTCTCTACCTATATAACATTTTGGGGTTTGTGACGTTAGGTATCCTTAACAAATAAAAATTTTACAAGAAAAAACAGAGATTGCGCAGCAATCATACAATGAGACTATTTTTTTTTATATAATGTGTTCACAATTCCTTACAACCATTTGATGTGAAATTTTATAATTTGTATGTGTCATAAAATTCAAAAAAATTTATTTTGAAGTTTAAGCTTGATCAATGGAATAATTACAGCCATCCAACTTTACATCTAATGGTCAATATTAATGTGATCATCTTGTATAAAAGTAAAAAGGTAGATAGTCTCATTTTATATTTTCCCCGTAATTTATAGGCCATAGCCGACCTAGCACTTCAATAACATGGTATGGCCCATTTTCCAAAAATACATTGTTTTTCCTGAGAACGACAATTAAAGTGGTCCTAATTTCCAAAAGTAATACTATTCTTGATTGTGAACATTATTTCAGATATTTTTTGCGCCTTCAAATGGCAAATTTCATAAAATTCATTATTGAAATTTTTCTAGCCACATTTTGAGAATTTCAGCCCAACTTCTTGGCTTTTTTATTATTATTATTATTATTATTATTATTTAATTTACTCCTCGACCCCATTTCGATTTAGGGTGAGGTTTTTATAAGCCTCAGGCTTTAGGAAAACAAAATAGGCTGCCACCTCAAATCGTTGTCCAAAAAGCGTTTTCGACACATGGCAATGGCAATGGCTATTGCAATTTTGAAATACGATCAAACAGCCCCTAAAATCTTTGGGTCTATAACTTCCAAAAGACTACCAAATTTAGCCCTAAATTCCAAAATGTTGAACCTTGGATCACACCGAAATACAAAGCAGCTCTTACAACTAACATGCGTCTCCCATACTTCTTGTATTTAGTTATGGGTGCGGTTTTTATAAAGTTGCAACCTTAAACAATCCAATTAAGGCGCACCTCCAAATTTTATCATAATATATATTTTTGGTTTAAAAAATTCTTAGGATTATCTAAAAATGTATTTTCATATTTAATTATAAAATTTTGAACTCCAAAAAT